ATCACTCTATCACAGAAAAATAAGAGTTGTAGAACTTATTGAAAACTCAAGACAGCCATAACATTGTTTTTTTACAAGTGTATGTAAACTTTTGACCACAACTGTATATATATATATATATTCATTCGACTACCTCATGTACTGATAATATAGTCAAATTAAAACCACATTTTGATTCCAGACGCCTTTTTTTCCCCCTATCTCCTGGGGCAAACACAATGTAAATAATTTGTTATGAATAAACTTGCCTTTATCATTATTTTACACAAAAGAAATGAAATGCCTGCACTCATGCTGCAGTCTTCAAAAAATGTCTCAGTAATAGATTTTTTTTTTCCAGAGACTGGCTACATTTTCTCATTTTTGGTTCACTTAAATTTTGCTTTTCACCTGCTGACAAAGGCAAAAAAGCCATTTTATATATTAGCATCACTTAAATAGTTTTATCTGAAGATATAAAAATGGTATTGGCTGAAACCTTTCAACCAAGTATGGCTTCAAAATATTTGAGTAAACCTGATAAAACATGCGCTAAATGTAAACATTTTTTAATCAACTTGGAACATTTTAAGCTTTTCTCACAATAACCACACAGGCACATCATTTCATGACAAAAATACAAAGATTTATTTAAAAAGAGAAAAGAAAAAAAAACAAAGCTCCCACATAATACTGTTTATTCCTTAAAAAACAAGTGTAGTAAAAATGTGTCTCAAACAAACCCTTCTCCTTTATGTCATTAGTGTATTTCTAAGTTTCCCACAGATAAGGCACAAACATTTTTAAACACTAGTGTCAAAACAAAGTGTCAGGAAAATGGAGTCAATGTCGGCTTTTAAACCACGTTTTTCAGAAACCAGCACCACAGTGTTCTGATGTACACCTTGTAGTTTTACAGTACAGAAGGTGAATACAAATATGTGGAAATACTTTTGCTCCCTAAAAAATATACAATATGATGCATAGTTTAGCAAAGATTGAGCTCTTTTTCTGACACAGAGGACTGCAAATATCCTGAGTCAGTGGGGAAAAAATATATGAGTGAAACAAAGATAAATAATGTCTGTAACATCCCAAATTCAGCCCAACACAGCCCATCCAAGAAGGCTGCTCTACTGGAAATCCACTGGAGATAAAAAATCCAGAAATGAGTCCACAATATGGCTTCTACAGTTTTTCCTTTTACAAATTCAGTGAAGCAACAAAGTGTAATGCCCCCTTTAACTGCAAACAATTCAATGCAAATCAATGTTCAATAAACAAAACTGAAGTTTAAACCAGATTTAAACATTTTATAGATGTTACAGTGGTTCTGTGCAAACTACTTTGAAGTCAAACAGTACAAAAAAAGCCACGAGATGTTAGCGTTTCACCAGCGTTTCACTTAAAATGAGTGAACAGGAAAATTCAAACTGTTGTTRGGGTTTCAAAGGGGTTTTGGATGTCCGTTTACATCACAGTAACCTCCATAACCAGTTGAATTAATGACATTTCACTTCCTCTTTTTTTTTTAAATAAACCAAGAACATAACCTGCTACTGTTGTAAAGTCAAAGGCTGTCTCCAACCAAAAACTATATTAAATTCTGTTTTGTTTGTATCCAGATTTTGATATATTCATGTAAGTCAACTTGGTAACGTGTGCTGCAAGTCAGTAAAGTCTGTGTGAATTTAAACAAGCACTGCAGCATAAATCAGTGAAAACAAGTCAACCACAAAGCAACACATTTGTACCAGTCCCGTGTGCTTCATAAACATGTAGTGAGTAGGATGTAAGGTTTCCTCTCAGCGAAACAATAAAAAGTCAAAAACAAGTGGATGGTTTTATATAAAAAAAGGAGGATAAATATAAAAACTGATACACCAAAAGCAAAAAAAAAAAAAAGAAGTAGCTACAAGACTGATTAAAAATACAGTGAAGAAAGGAAGGTATGAGATTTTTGGAGTCAGTCTAAAACTTTGGCAGCTTGAGTTCACACATGATGCAGTTTTGTGTGATTTCCTTGTTATTGTTGGAAACCCGGTGAAGAGGAGGTGGACAGAATGCCACAGGTTATACTGGTAACAAAGGTTATTTCAGATCCAAAAATCCTCACATGAAGCCAGAGCTAAGAAAAGACAAAAAAAATAGATGAATTGTTAAATTGATCCAAGTCTAAATATGGCATATCAAACTGTGTTAAACCCATGAATCTACATTTTTTCCCCACCCCACCAAACAATATTTGTGGAGCAGGCTGAGCCGTTTTAAAGGCCTCTTACTTTTTGCGATCCTTGTCCTTCTTGCCGTTGACGGTGAAGCTCTGAGCCTGCAGGAGCTGAGCGGCGGCTCGCCTCTTATTGAAAGAGCTTTGGTCGTCGTCCAGAAGCTTCTTCTTTTCCTCCAGAGCCGATTTCTGGTCTGCATGCTGGCGCTTCAGCTGCTCAAAGCGGCCCTGCAGCTAAAACAACAGCAGCCCACGGCAGCAATTATTAACAGAGTCACATAAAAAAAAGGTTATTTAGAAAGAACAAAATGTTTAAAATATAAGTAAATACAGGCTACACAATTTGTCCATTTAATACATTTTTAAAATGAGGAGAGTTAGTAAACATCTATTTACAAAGGTGTATAAAAAGTGCAATTATAGGTTGAGCAGTGATGAAATGTAAAACTGAAAACAAAAGTCCAAATTTATTTATTTATTTAATGGATAAATTCCTAGGAAGGTTAGAAATATTTTGTAGTCTGCCTCTTTTGTCTAGGATTGACAATAATTGGACAAACCTCCCTCTCAGCCTCCTTCAGCTCCGCCTCCTTCTCCTTCACCCTCTGCACAAAGATTTGTCTCATCTCATCTTCTCTCTTCTGCAGCTCTGCCAGGAACTCCTGACGCTTGGCCTCGTATGTCTGCTGTAAGCTGTGGGAGACACACACACACACACACATTACAGCTTGTTGCTCAGCGAGCAGGAAGTTTTCGACACATACAGGTCCTGGTGTCTGGGCTGTTTACCTGACAGGTTTACACTCCGAGTCCGTGTCCTTGAATCCCATTTCCTCCAGTTTGCAGCGCCTGTAAAGCTCATAGTGACGCGTGTGGGTTTGCTCTCTAAGGTCCTCCATGTTTACACAAATGAGCATCTCCCTCAGCTTCACAAAGTCACAGTGGTGCTCATTCTCCACTGTCAGACGTGAAACAAATTTAAGTGTTAGTTTTAACTGTTTTGCCTTTATTTTTTTAACGGGAGACGTGCAAAAACACACAAACAGAATGATACCTTGGACAACGCCCCATGGATACTGACGAGCTTTCACCATCTTATTCCCAACGGAAACTTCCTCTGTGCTGCCGACCACAGCAAATGGAAGATGACCCTACAAAAAATAGATTTTAGAATATGCTTCCTATAGAAATTCTTCCTCATATAACATAAACACACTCACCATGTCTACAGATTAACATTCCTTACATCCTAAAATTAATTCCAGTTTAAAGCTAAATTTGAGCTTATATTAACAATATGACCTATACATAAACCTATACATCAATGTAAAACTTGACCCTGATAACTTTGGGTATCCTTACATTCATGGTAGTGTTGACTTTGGCCACGGTCTCATCATCCAGCGGGAACTGGTAGATCTGCACGCCGTTGCTGACCAGCTCACTCATGATCTTGATCTTGAACTTGTGCAGCTCACTCTTGCTGATCGTGTCGGCTTTGGCGATGACTGGGATGATGTTTACCTGCATCGGGATGAGAGGCACGTTTGTGAGAAACAGCACTTTATTTATGCCGTTATTTATTAGAAACATCTGCAGGGTAAAGATAAACCATTTCATGCAGTTTGTTTGTTTTTGTTTTTTTGTAATAGGATTAGTTGAACAGAGATGAAAAAATGTGCAAAGAAAGAACAGAATCCAGTGTAGTCCACTGGGCATTTGTCATATGGACTGTTTGTTGATATGATAGATGGAAAAAAAAGAAAAAAAACAATATTGAAAATTGCTGATCATAATAAATTACTACTACTACTACTAAAAAGAAAAAAAAAACTAAATCGTCATAAGCAATAAAAATATTAGCAATAATAAACTGAAGCTGTCTGCCCCCGAGCAGGCCACCAAAGGAGCAGGAGCAGCACTGTGATCTCAGGCCACAACCCGACCAAACCATCAGTCCAGAGCAGTGGTTCTTAACCTGGGTTCGATCGAGCCCTAGGGGTTCGATGAGCCGGTCTCAGGGGTTCGGTGGAGGTAAAGACACACTTGTGAAAAGTTGTGATGACACACCCCGCTTGGCAATCACTTGTTGCAGAGGATCACGTGAGATTGCTTGGCCAATCAGTGCTGGCTCCAAAAAAGTATTTTGTGGATTCAAAACGACTAAAAACATATTAATTTTAAAATAAATGAACAAAAAAGTTATCAAAAATGTTAAATCCTTCAAAAAATTGCAGTTTATTTTTTATTAGTAAAATAGTAAAAAATATTTTTGGGGGGCTGAAATTTTTTATGGGGGCAAATTATTTTTTTTTGAGGCCAGAATAAAGTCATACTGTAATTTGTTGTGMGTTCATGCACTGTGTTGGTTTTGTTCTTTGAGCAAGGGATGTTCATGCACGGCTCATTTTATACACCAGTAAAAAAAAACCATATACCTATGTCTTGAATTTGGAAAAAAAAAATCATATTTTATTTATCACTAAAAAGGGTTCAGTGAATGCGCATACGAAACTGGTGGGTTCGGTACCTCAAAAAAGGTTAAGAACCACTGGTCCAGAGGTTTGCCAAACAATAATAGGCGCACCTTGTGTGCTATGTGTTAAATATTTCCAGTGGTTCCCAAACTTTTCAGCTTTTAACCCACAAAATACCAGCAGCAGAGACCTGTACCCTCAGCTGTTGTCGGTTGATAAACATTGTTTTCACGTCAAATAAACAAGAGCATAGTAACATTTTTATTATGTTGTTTTTGTCCATATTAAGTACACTAATCGTATTATTTTGTAACAACAAAGGCAAAAAATATTTCTTAGTTGTCTTTTTTTTTGTGTGTAATTAATTCAAAAAATATTTTCAGGACCCCACTGTGAGTCCCGACCCCGACTTTGGGAACCACTGCATCCCTAATCTTATGTAATGCAGTAAAAGAAAAACGTGGTAAAATGGCATGCGACCCCCGCTTAGACCATGTTTTATTAAGCACTTTACAAACTATGACTTTTTTTTGTTATATGAACTTATTCTAGAAAAAAGGGGCAGATATTAAGATTTTTTTTGTCTCTCATTTTTCTTTTTATTGTATATAAAATTATTTGTTTTGTTTTAATGAAATGAATAAAGAACTGAAACTGAGAGACTAAAAATAAGCTCAAAGTTAAATACCTCAAAAGAAGAGGTTTGCAATGGCAGACTTTTACGATTGTTCACGTTCAGAACTAAAGATAAATGATGACAAAAAGTCTGAATCTTTGTGCGCAAAGTATAAAAATCTTCCAGATGATTCAAAACTTTGTCAAAGTCCTGTAAAATATCTGAACCACCAACAAAACTCGAGTTGCATTTGTTTTCTTTTTGTATCTAAAACTGCTTTCTGAACTGTTTTTAGATAGGCGTTATATAAACCATGTCTCAGATGTTATTTCTGGCTCTGCAGTTCAATCTGGTGCCGGACTCGTCCCACATTCCTTTCTGTCATCTCGCTGTAACACAGAGGGGGGGCTTGGAATGAGTTGTTGCCACTGGGCAAGTTTCTGGGCCAGACCACACAGCCGTACACACACACACACACACACATACGCTGAACACACACTGATCCCGGCAGAGAAAACAAAACGAGGCTAGGAACAGCTGTCGGAGTGAGTGACGGTCGCTCGCTGCTGCAGACTCAACACTTGGATCTTTGCGCGAGTGTCCGTACGGCGACACAAAAGGACGACTCGAGTGTGCGCGCGTGAGGCGACTGCAGAACTCCCCTGCTCTTTCTCCTCTTTTCACACGCAAATAGTGTAACTGCCACTCAAGAGCAGCTAAACAGCACAAACACGAAAAACAACACGAGTTACTACACACACGGGGCATGGGAAAGTTTCTGACCAATTTAAGAGGAATGGAGGGGCAGTACAGCCGATAGTGAACCCTCCCCAACATTAAAACTACCACAGCATTGCTTTTAATACACTTAATCCAAACCTCTCACACGCACGTTTTTTTGCAATGTTTGTGAYGCTTTTATTTGATAGCAAAGTGTTTAAGTTTCCCCACTTGTCTCTAAAAATGACTGCTGCGGTCATTTTATTCGAACACTTACATATTTTGCTAATAGATCAAAATCTGTAATATTATTCTAAGTTTTTGTCATTTTTATCTGCTAAAAACAAAACAAAACTCTTTCCCTTCCTCACTGTTTTCTATTTATTCAGAGCACCAAGGGCATTTATTGTTAGTTCTAACCCAGCCAATATTAACAGGTTATAAGAAGTTGAAATTTCTCAACATAGTCGGGGGTAAACATCACGTGGCCTCTTGAGTGGAAACACTGACAAAAAAAAAAAAACAAGAAATCTTTCAAAGCTATTACAATTACAGTTTAAGAATTTGGATTATTCAGCAAAATAAGCACAACTTAAACACTTCCTGGAAACCCAGATAATGCAGTTTCTCTCTCACCTTACTGTCAAGTTTCTTCATTGTAACCAGGTCCAGGGATTTAAGGGAGTGACCAGAGGGGGAGATGAAGTAAAGACAGGCGTGGACTCGTGAGTCATGGTAGTTGTGCAAAGAGCGCTTGATTTTTAGCTCCTCCTGAAGATAACTCTCAAACTGCTTGTCAATGTAGTCCACCACCGGCTGATAGCTGAAGAACGTAAACAGTGCTGGTCAGAAATTTGACACCTAAATGTACAAATCAAACAACGTAACTACACCTACTCTCTTAACAACATCAATTCTCTTTAAAATCTCTCTGGGTCACTATCCCGCATAAGAAATATCACACGGGCTCACACAGATCTTATTCGCACCTTTCTTGCTTGTTCATTTGGTCTCCAAAGCCAACAGTGTTGACCACAGTGAGGCGTAGCCTGACGTTACTCTCCTGCAGGTCGTATGTTTGAGCCCGCAACTTCACTTGAGGTTCAAAGTGGGATGACTCAAAATTCTCGAAGTTTGTATTAAATAGGGTGTCCATCAATGTGGATTTCCCAATACCAGTCTCACCTGGAGCAAAATAGAAGGATAAAAACATGTATTTGTAAAATGAACAGCTAACCTACCTACTTAGCATGCAGTGTTGTTGATTGCATTTCTTATTTTAAAAGAATGTGGGTGTACGCTGTTCAGAAAGCTCAATAAGAAAACAATTTGTCCCAAAATGTGTGTATCTTCGTAAACATCTATACACCGTGTATGACAACATACCAATGCATAATATATTGAAGCAGAAGCCCTGGCTGATGGACTTGTTGACAAGCTGATCTGGAAGGCTGTCAAAGCCTACATGGCCAGCTAGAGACAAGGGCCGGGCTCCTTTATCCTGTGGAATCAGTTGCACAGTAAAAGTTCATTATTACCATGCTGCAGGTATGTTTTGTTTTTCACATAGCATATACATGTAAACATTTGCCTCCCATTAGCAGCTATCTGTCATTTTAAGTGTCCCAAAATAGCATTTTTAGCATGTCACAAACAATAATGACATTCAACCCTATATAATTTCTTAACCAAACATATTGTGAAACGCAGTTCATCACATTAAATGCTGCAGGCCACTTATTTTTTCCTGCAATTCAACTACTTTCATAAATTAGCAAACTATGCTAGCAAGCTAGCGCTCTGTCCCGGTGTCCTCTGAAAGGTGTAGCAAATAGATCTATGWCAAAGCTAGTGCTAATACATACGTTAAAACCAATAAATATCCACATAAATTCGAACAACACTGACTGTCGACTCATACACTGCTTTTTTTTATGACTTTAAAAAGTTTGTTTTTAAGGAGCTAACTTCATGGTAGCCTCGGGGACACTCCCAATCCTGTATTCAAGAACAGCCATTTGTAAACTATAAGAAAACGAAGACTTACCGGGTGCTGTGCAACTTCCGAGGCCATACTTTAAAATAAAAGCTAACAATCTTAATGAATTCACAAGTATTTTAAAGAAAATTTGCAAAAGTTCGACTTTTTTCCCCCCCTCTGGATCGCCTTTGGCTCTGCCGTCGACAACAGGGCAGACGAAACCACTCATGACACTGTGGGAACCTGAGTAAAGCTGAAGAGTGTAGAATTGTGTTAAAGCGTAATATTGAAGAAAATATGTTACCGATGAAAATTCAAAAAAGGTTTTACGAGTTAGTGGTTAATATTTGAGCAATACTAAAGCTAAAAACGGGAATTTACTGTGTTAAAAGAATTAATCCACCCCTTTTTAGGCAGTTGGTACAGCCCAAATTAATTTTCCCAGCCACTCCCAGTTTCTGAGTTGTGTTGTAAGCGATGGGAAAAAAAACAATTATTAGTTGCGATTTCGGCAAAAACATCGCGCTTTTCCKGATTCTTACAAAATCTACTTTCATGTGTATTTTTAACTTTTTTTGGTCAGAYAAAAGATTTATATGACTTTTGCTTCTGTCATTATACAGCTCATTCTGTGATTTATTGATTTATTTATATTTGTTATCGCGTAAAATAATTTAAAAAAAATCTGTATTGTTCGATACAAGTGTGTATTGAACCTAAAGCACTGTATTGAACGG